AAGAATCAGTTTTAATTTTTGTGAACATTTTCTAAAATTTCATGGACATTGTTTTCAAATTCCCAAATATGTTTTGAATACACGATCATATTTTATAAATCGTGAATTTTTATTTTATTGTTTTTTAAATTACGATTTTTTAAAATATGCGAACAGTTTTGTTTTTAAATCACGAATTTTTTATGATTTCTCAAATGTTTTTTGAATTCACAAACATTTTATGATGTATCTATATATTTTCTCAGTACTCGCAACTTTTTTGATTTTTTTTTCTGGAAATCCCAGAGTAATTTAAAGAAAGAAAAACAGGAAAAAAATGAGAAAGGAAAAAAGCAAAAGAAAAACAGGGGCGTCATTACGGGCCGGCCTATTACGGCCTGCTATATATATTGCAGAAAAGGGGAGAAAAAGGGTATGCACGACCAGGGGTCGAACCCTGGTCTCCCGTGCGGGTGGCTTTGGCTTTACCCACTGCGCTGGCTTCCGGCGAGTGTTATATAATTGTATTGACTATCCTATAACAACTAAATTGGACGGTGATTCTTTTTAAAAAAACGAATCGTTTTCTTTACTTACCGGTGGCATGGTGGGTAAATTGGGACAACTTCAGAGGCAATTTATATGACGGACGACAGAAACCCAACTCTCTTTATTATTATATATATATATATATATATATATATATATATATATATAAAATATATATATATATATATAATAGGGAAAGATATAAATACGGAAAGATACTCGATGCAAAAAAAACAAAAAAAATACGGAAAGATACGTCAAATTGTGTGATCTTCCCATGCATGCAGGAGCTACCCAAAACGTTTCTCTCCGGGGAGGCGATTTGATTGCTTGATATCCGATGGCTCCGGTAATTAGGCCACTATCCTTATACATGAAGTGCAGTAATATATAGCGCACAAAACATGCAAACAACTGCTTTTCCATATTGAAATACAACAAAACATTTTTGAAATATAAAAAACATCAAATCACTATGCTCCCTAATTTTGGAGTTCTGCCATTTAAATGAGCCATTCAATTTTAGATTTGATCCATGATTTTGACCGGGTTAACTATTTCTAATTCACCATGATTCCTAATTTTGGACGTTTCCCATTCAAGTGAGGCGTTCAACTTTAGATTTAATTCCTGATTTTGACCGGGTCAACTATTTCTTAACTATCTCTCTCATTCACTATAGATATTCAACTTTGGATTTGATTCACTATTTTTACTGGGGCGATTTCTCAATTAGTCGGGAACAGCCAACTTGTAAAAACAGCATCCTCTCACCATCAAAAAAGAGAGAATTTCATATTTGGCCCTTTTTAAAATTTGCTTCCCTTTTTGGCCTAAAAAACTTTATATTTTCTTTCTTAACACTTAAACTTTATTTTGTTCCCTATGTGACACTTTCATCCAACTTTTCATCCGGCTGTGTTAACTTTGACGTACAAAGACAATTTTACCCCTGATGATAGTGTGTCAGAAAAAAAAAGGAAGAGAAGGCGCGTGAACACAAATGAATGAAAGTGTTGTACGTTGAAGAGCTCACGTTCAAATATCCATATCTGCTGCCGCCCATACACACAATCGTGTTGATCCTGGACGTGTGAGCTAGCACACGGGTACGTGCAAAAGCTAGCACAAGAGGAAGCTTGATTGATTTGCCTGGAGACGAAAGAGTGCACGCTCGTCTCGTGTGCGTACGTGGATGGTAGAAGCTAGTTCTCAATCAATTGGATCGATTCGATCTGGACGGAATACTCTCATAACTATCTTACAGATTCGTGTATATATGGCCATATGGGTAGTGACTCACGGATTCGTGTGCGTAGTTTAGATGATTATTAGCCATAATATTAATCTGTATTACAAATTTATACGCTACAATGTGACTGAATGAGTCGTCATTGTTCCACTCATAATATAATAATTATTATTAGACCCCTGCGATATCATTTTATGATTAGTAATATTTTTGTTTGTTCATTCAACCACAACAAAATATATATCACATTACATCTGTCTTTGCATGTAAATAATCTTATCACATACTGCACTAGGGGTAAAACAGTCTTTTTAGGTCAAACTTAACACCGTTACTAGGCAAAACTGACGGAAGTGTCATATAAGGAACAAAATAAAGTTTGAGTGTCAAAAAGGGAGAACAAATTTTTTAGGGCCAAAAAGGGAAGCAAAATTTAAGAAAGGGCCAAATAAGGAATTCTCTCATCAAAAAATAAAGCGTCAACACATGACATTGTAGCACCAATATAGTATATACAATCGTCAACGCAACAAACTTCTCACATAAGTATTGGTTGATTAGCAGATATCACAGAATCACACCGCCAAGAACCACCAAAACATCGTGTCATAAGAAAAAGAAAACACACTTCATCATCTTCCCTATTTCCCCATGCGCCACTAGTTTTTATCTTTTTGAAATCCCAACAACACCAACGGCGAAGAAAGCGCGTCCAACTCTTCTAGTACATTATTATGTATACATTTCATCAAAATCCTAGATTCTAGGTATTTTCAAGCTTTTGGACCATTGTCTTGCACACACTTTCGTCTACTTCCACTACAAGTAACATTGCACTCGACAATCTTGTAATCAAATTCTGTCTTGGCAGAAATCATAAATATCCCCCGCAAAAAAATCATAAATATCATAGTGGTAGATGGATTAGCGTTTTCACTGAGTAAGTGCAAGCACACCGCTCTTGGTTTCACGGATAGAAGTGACTGTATGTGAAGATGACAAGTACATTCTTCTGCTCTGCAATCTCACTTGACCAAACAACGCTTGTGTCAAATATCTTGATCTCAAGTTGCCTCTTGTTTTCTTACAGCGTCCATCGATACGGGCGATCTCAAGTGTCTGTTGCTAAGTAGTGCTCTTCTATATAGTTTAACATAAAATGGTGCTCCTGGTCAAGTTTATGCAGACAAGATGAATTGTGTTGGTTGCAGTGCTTGCGTGTGCGCTATTGTGATTTTGTGACATGGAAATGATGTTACACGCTCCACATCCTAACAAATTTGAGTTCGATGACTATCTAACGCAATTTGTGCTCAGTGAATGTTTGACATTGTCATAGGCAACCTTTGTGTCAAACATGAGAGCCACCAGCTTTTATCGTTAGAGAGATCATTAGTAGTATGGAGGAGAGGGATTCTAGCATTGCTCATACTCATCAAAATTGTAATATGGTTAGTCATGCCTTGGCTAATTTTGGTAGGGTGCAACGCCGAACTATAGTTTGGCTAGGCTTGGGACTAGATGAGGTCATGGAACTTGCAAGACTAGAGAGTAACATTTGATTTGAGTAATGCAAGAATTATTTCGCAAAAAGAAGAACCGTCAAGTTTTATAATTATGGTTTCGACCTCTTCACCGTGTGCAAAAACTATTTCTAGTTGTTGGGCGACAAGCCTTATAAGCTATCAAACAAACAAAAAGAACTATTTTTACTTTTAAATGTTGATCAGGTTTGCTCTACAAAGAAATGCTTCCTTTTATAAAATTTTCTATCAAAAATATTGCATCTCAAATAGATTACTCCGGCCGATCTGAATTAAATGATGCAACCTCCATATATACATTGCATAGAGGTTGCGTCATTTAATTTGGATCGGATGGAGTATTATTTTTGCGCTTGTTCCAGGTTCTATGATTCACTAAAAACCAGAATAATCTGAGGCATCTGAACATGGACCTTGAGATCATGTTCGATCCATATGCTGGTAGTGAGGTTATGGGGTTTGTTGAGGTTTCACCCTCCTGCTATGAGGACAGCAAAGGCCTCTACCATCACCTAAGGAGTGTTCCCATGTCAGGATTGCTACCGTGCTTAGACGTATGGTAGTAGATTCAGTGGCATATGGTGACCCTCGTCGTACAGATGATATCTATTCAGTCAGCAAGGCCGGTAGTACCGATGGTGGAGTTGGTACCATGTCCATAAGAATAGGAAGTTTGCGGAGAAAAACCGTGGCAGAGGAGTTTTGTCATATCGTCACCATTTTGTGAATTACAATGCTAGGGCTGGAAATCTTGTCTATATATGTCGATGGATGTGCATTGTGGAAAATGGATCGCATTTTTTTCTTTCCATCCTAAGGCTTTCTGAAGCTTCGAAAGAATCACTCACAAGGGATGCATGCATGTACCACAAGCCAAATGATTGGAGACAGTAGTATTATGTGCAACAAAATTCAGGAAAAATCCAGTGGTTTCTGCATTTTGATTGGAGCATGAGTTAACTGTGCTTTCTTTCTTACGTTTTCTTGTTTGTGAATTTGCTATCATGAACTGTCCATTATTATAGTATATGCGATACTCTTTCATTAATGAAATCGTGGAATTATTTATCTCGGTACATTCATAGCATCTCATGCATGGTCTGTGTTTGATGCTGTCAAGATTCAGTGTCTTCCTTGCTGCAAGTAATCTTTCATCAGTTCCTTGACAATACTACATTCTTGTCTGAACCAACAATGTCAGAGAAGCCACTCCTAGCTACAATAGAGATTTTAGTTACCCACTTTTAAGATACTTCCATTGCTTAAGAAACCTAAGAGAGATGCATTGCCGTTCAAATTACTTGCAACTTGAAACACCTTTTGCTTCTTGCAAAATGCTAGTGTAGAAAGGTTTGACGTGAGATAACCAGTTCGCATCCTACCAGTACTACTTAGTAGCATCTCAGCAGATACACTTGCAGTGCTGTCGACAGAGAATAATCCACAAAAAGAGGAAACTGCAACCATGTCAGATCAAAACAAGACATCAATTCAGCAGGATTACAGGAAATAACAAAAATGTTTATGTCTTATACAAGAGCCGATCTAAGACTGTCTAATAATCATAAATACTTGTAGGCTCATCATGCTATTTGGGAACCAGTCGATCTTTTTGCTTCTCCTTCCGACAGGATATTGATTTTCACTCTTCTTGCTTGTTCCTGCAGGTGAAGGGCTTATTTAGGAGAAAGGCTCCTCACTCTTTCACCTCGGGAACCGGCTGCAAAGCTCAAGAGCACTTTCTTCTTCTTCCTGAAAAAGGAACATCCTTTCACTTTCACGACGATCGACTTGAGGCCAATCGTGCTGGCGGATCGCCCCATGTGTTTCCCTGTTGCTTCACCGGCGCACCGAGCAAGACGAGACCGCCCTTTACGATCCTCCAAGCAGCCAGCAGAAGCCCGGGCCTTCCTGTTCTCCTTGACGTCCGTCACGGTCACAAAGGTCTTTTTCTCCTTGGGTGTGATGTGTAGAACATCCATCTTTACTCGCGGAGCCGCTGTCCACGTTATTTCCATGTTTAATCGGCCAGACCTGCTACCGCCGCCTGTGAAATCATTTTCAGCAAAGCGACGGTAAATGCTGTCATTCTGCTTCCGTGTTTGCATGAGGCGGCTCACCGGATCGCCGTTCGTAAGGCCCTGCAGTGAGTTCTGCCAAAGCACAAATTGAGACTCAACTATCAAGCACCAGATAACAAGATCCACTGCTTTGTTGATGTCTCAGCAAAACTTGAAAAAATGAACAAGACAAGGTGTGTGTATATAGTAATGCGTCTGTAAGATCACATAAGATTCAAAGCTATATGGAGTAGCATTTGTGGTTGCAAACAGCACTCGACTTGGTTTGGTAGGTTAGCTGTCAATGGCAAAGGGAAAGGGACACCTTTAGAAGAGGTGGAACAGTAGCAAGAAACAAGGAAATGATGAAAAGAACACCTATGTTTTCTTCTCTTCTTCTATTTCCTAGCATTGTAGCGGAATCAGTATGAAGCATTGTGCCACTCAAGAGGTGGAACAGTAGCAAGAAACAAGGAAATGATGAAAAGAACACCTATGTTTTCTTCTCTTCTTCTATTTCCTAGCATTGTAGCGGAATCAGTATGAAGCATTGTGCCACTCAAGAGGCACGCACACACTTGCCTAACTCCTGAATTTATCTGCTTCAGTACAAATTCACTCTACCATCGTATTGCCACTTACAATTTCATTTAGACCAAGTTAGCTGGAAATGCATTGGAAGGGAGCGATGTTGATTAGAACGGGCAGCTGGTAAACGTACCTTGTCAGTCGACAGCAGCCGTTGGGTGCCTGGTGAGGCGACCGGTCGCAGGAGCGCTCGGCCAGCGAGCCCGAGTGCCCTCGCCGCCATCGCCGTCTGCTGGACGGAGGAGGATGAGGTCTGGTAGAGGCCGCTGGCGACGGCAGGGACGAAATCCTTGTCTTCCTATCCGAGCTATGAGGCACAGGGGAAGAAAAGAGTGATAAATATTTGTACAGATAAATGAAACAAATATTCAAATATGCAGCAACTTAATTTATTAATCGAGTGGGATCACTGGGCAGCTATATAAACAGAAGCAATGCTAAATAAGCAAAATAAACTAGCTCGTGAAACAATCTAAGTAAACGGGTGGCGAGCTGGGCACGTTATGGTTGATTTACAATATGAAAGTGACCAAATGGTGAGCTATGACAAATGAGTGTATAAACAACACAGTTTATATCTATAAACAAAGGTGTGTATGCACACCAAAACATCACAGTTTATCATACAGATACACACCAAAACAGTGGATTAATCTTATATGTGCATATACACATTCTTTAGCTGGGCAGGATACACTCAACAAGTTAGAAGTCCATCTCAGATTATATGTAAACTGCACAGAAATCACACAATATCTCTAACTTGCAGAAGAGAGACCTCTAAATGGCAATGACATTATTATCTGTAAAACTGCAAAATGCACACAGCCTTCCTTTACCTTGACGGAAAGCGGGCAGAGGTGGCGTCGGCGTCGAAGTGCTGCAGCTGTTAGGGCTCGGGGAAGAGGTGGATCGGGGGCGGCAGCGTCGTCGGCGTCTGTGGCGCGAAGGATCGGACCGGAGTTGGTCTGACGGCCTGACTGGGCTCGGCGGCGGGAGATACTAGGACGGAGCGGGGGCGTCGCTGCGCTCGGGGCTCGGCGGCGGTGGTTTCGGGGGGAGAGGGACCCGGATCCAATCGCCGGAGCAGGCGGCGGCCAGAGATCGGGGAGCGTGGCGGCGTTGAGCCAGGGAGTGAGGGTGAGAAGGGATTTGTTTAAGGCCCGGAGCCCTATCGTACTTAAGGCCGAGCGACCAGGCCGGCCCACTGCTGTTGTATGTAGTTCGTCCGTTTTTTCTCTCTGCGTGTGTGTTTTGTCCGGTTTTTCACTGTTTTGGGCCGGTTTCCTTCTGTTTGGGTTTTCGTGCGGATGGGGCAGTAGAGGACTGGCGGCGTCGATCTGCAGGGATACCAATAGTGTTTAACAGGGAGTAATGCTAGACCCACGTAAACTTATGTGAGGTTTTTATGTAAAGGTTGATGTAGACAAAATCATTAATTAAAGAGTACTCGTTGCAAAGAGCACTCCACTTTTTCAGGTCGTGACAAGTGGTGTACATGCAGCGCGCCACTTGTCGTAACCTGGGAGTTTTGCTTTTTTTCGTAGATCTGTTTATTCAAAACGTTTTATCTCTTAAATCGTGCGTCCAAATCTTGAACCGTTTTTACCGTTGGATTCCTCGCGTCGAGATCTTCAAAACTAGATCTAATGTTGATAGGTTTTGACGAACTTTTTTTTCACGAAAAAACCAGATGAAAAAAACCACGTGAAAAAGCCGGACCGGAAACATGGTTTTTTTCCCTTTCCGAAAGAGGCACGTCCGTGCCTCTCGCGAAATCACAACCGTGCCTCTCATGGAAGCAAAACCGTGACTCTTGTGAAAGGAAAAAAACAGAAAACGCGTTTTTTTTCGTTTCCGAGAGGCACGGCCGTGACTCTTGCGAAAGCACAACCGTGCCTCTCGTGAAAGCAAAACCGTGACTCTCGCGAAAGAAAAAAACAAAAAATGTGTATTTTTTTCCCTTTCGGAGAGGCACGGCCGTGACTTTCGCGAAAGCACGACCGTGCCTCTCACGGAAGCAAAACCGTGACTCTCCCGAAAGAAAAAAAAGAAAAAATGCGTTTTATTTTTCCCTTTCCGAGAGGCACGGCCGTGACTCTCGCGAAAGTACAACTGTGCCTCTTGCGGAAGCAAAACCGTGACTCTCGCGAAAGAAAAAAAATAGAAAACGCGTTTTTTTCGTTTCCGAAAGGCACGGCCGTGACTCTTTGCTAAAGCACAACCGTACCTCTCACGGAAGAAAAATCGTGACTTTCGCGAAAGAAAAAAAAAAGAAAACGCGTTTTTTCGCGCAATTTTTTTTTTCAAAAATTTATTTTGATCGAAAAGCTAAGAAAGACCGGGGGGAAACCAAAACGTCGGAAAAAACCCGCTTAAAAAGCCGAAAACACATGCGAAAAAATAAAAAAAATAAAATCCGAAAGGAGCGTCCAGAACGCGACATGTGGCAAATGACTGAGAGCGCGTCAAGTGGCGCTGATCGTTGCGAGGCTCCTTAACTAGTTGCTCCCTGATGTAGAGATAGTTAATTAGATGAGGATTAGCGGCTGGGGCCCATCCCAGTTGAAATCAAGGGAGGAGAGGATTATAGTTAGAAAGATTACATTACTTTTGCGTAGCCTGGTCGTAGATGGAGCATTATCGTTAACAGGGAGCTTCGGCGATAGTATTCGTGGCATTACCGACCCAACAACACTTGAAGCTTTGGCTTGTCGAGTGGCTATGTCACTTGTGGAGGATCTACCCGCATTGTGTTGTCTCAGATTGACAGGTAATGGAGCAGTTGGTAGTCTCGCTTCCAGTTTTTTTTTCGTTTCACCATTTTCGTCCGTTTTTTTCGTAGGTTAACCGTCGTAGATTTTTTTCGATGTTGGTTTCCTATTCACCGGTTTATTTACCCCTCAGCTCTTTCCTTGCAAATCAGCACTTTCCAAACGTGCACGCAATCACGGATCTAAATTTACTAACTTATCCAAATCAACCGATACCTTCCATTATTGCAAATTTCTTTAGGAAACAAATAATAGATTTTAAGGAAACAAATAAAAGATTTTAAAGACGCATCATACTTTACTAACAATCATTAAAAATCAAATCTAAATTAATTAACCTTACCTTAAATCACTTAATCACTTTAATTAAAAAACATTTTCTTTCCTAACTGCACCCCGCTTAGTGTGCACATAACAATCTGAAGTAATTAGAATCACATGATTGAATCCATTTATTTAGAGCGACATGATTGAATTCATTTATTAACAATAATCCTCACAAAAGTGCGTTTAGCAATTTTACAGGGCGGACCAAAACTCTGCCATCCGCTCGCCCGCGTTTGTTTAGGTACAGGAAAAAATGGCATATGGAAACAACACGACCGGGGCGGCGGCGCAATCTTCGGGGATAGGGGATCGGAGGAGAAGGATTGGCCTGGCAGCATGATCGGGGTGCTTCCCCGCGGCCGCGGCCGTCCTCGCGATGCCACCTACCCGAAATCAACGCTGCTCCCTGCCGTCAGCCGAGGCGACGCCGCCTGCCCTCCTACCCACGGTCCGCTGCCGCGTGCGGCTACGGCGGGAGGAGTAGCGATGGGGCCGAGGTCCTTCATGCGTTCCGGGATGGAGGCCATGATTTCGTCGAGGTCGTTGCTGCCTCCTACACTCAGGGTGTGTCACCGAGATCGAGGCGAGCATGAGGAGCTGTGGCCACCGCCATGGTCACCCCATCGCAGGGGATGGAGCACGCCGTCGGCCTACAGCTTGTGGAGATCAATGTTGCTCTTCAGGTCGCGTGGTGACCGGATCTTGCCGATGTGTCCCTCCCCGACGACCTCCTCTTCGCCCGGTTGGCCGGCATGGATCTCGCCACTGCTGCCCTCAACTTCTCTGCCTCGAGCTCTACGGTCAGCCACCATGGATCCCCCAGCTGGAGGGTCACGTGAACCAGCCGTCCTCCCATGCTGCAGCGGTGAGAAGGTGACATGGCTCTCCGTACACGAAGAGTGGAGTTCAGTCAAGTACTTATATACTTGGCCTCTACTGCTGATCCATGTACATGGAGAAGAACAGACAACCGCTCATTCATGCTTCGTTCCACTCCTTTGCGCTACATTACTGGAGGTGACATTTTCCTATCTCTCTATGTTGTAACAAGCCTGCTGCCTGCATAGTTAATGGATTTTTTATTTAAATTTATCGCTGCTTAGTGCTTTGTTGCAATTGTTCACCCAAGATTCTTATATATAATCTGAGCGTATGTAGGCATGCTTAGCTTTGCTATTCCATTTTTTCTGGCGCATAGAAATAAGAGTATTGTCCAGGTTAGGTATTCAATTGAGTATGGTATTTGGATTGCTATCAGAATGTTTTTTCTATGCATGTGATTTCTCACATCTAGTTATAATATTTGTGAAGACGTGTATTGCACGTGCACTTGGAAGCGGGCCCGTGGCCCCCGCTGGACGGCACCGACGCCGACCCGAGCCACCTCGTCCGCGTATTCTTGGAGCTGTGGCTGGTCGATTTACATGAAATTAATTCCCTCAGTTCTGGTGGCAAATATAATACACATAATCCATATTGTTATGCACTAGCGTGTATGTGTGAAATAGATGGATTATGGTCCCGTACCCAATAAGATGGATATGTGTGTGTTAGAGAGAGAGGGAGAGGGGGATAGAGAGTGAGGAAGAGGGAGGGAGAGTGTGTGTCTGTGTGTGTGAGGATTTGATGGTTAAAAAGGTCGTCAATGTCGTAATATTGAACTCTTAAAGTTAATGTGGCCTCGTTGCAACGCACCGGCGTTCTTCTAGTACCAATAGTGTTTAACAGGGAGTAATGCTAGACCCACGTAAACTTACGTGAGGTTTTTACGTAAAGGTTGATGTAGATAAAATCATTAATTAAAGAGTACTCGTTGCAAAGAGCACTCTACTTTTCCAGGTCGCGACAAGTGGTGTACATGCAGCGCGCCACTTGTCACAACCTGGGAGTTTTGCCTTTTTTTCGTAGATCTGTTTATTCAAAACGTTTTATCTCTTAAACCGTGCGTCCAAATCTTGAACCGTTTTTACCGTTGGATTCCTCACGTCGAGATCTTCAAAACTAGATCTAATGTTGATAGGTTTTGACAAACTTTTTTTTCACGAAAAAACCGGATGAAAAAAACCGCGTGAAAAAACCGGACCGGAAGCATGGTTTTTTTCCCTTTCCGAAAGAGGCACGT